ATATTTAATTATAATTATTAAATATGTAAAATATAATATATATTTTAATTTTATTAAATTTATCACATGATTATTATTAAATATTTCAATATTTTTAATATAAAAATATTTTAATTTTTTCCCTATTAAATATGTTCTTGGATTTAGTTATTGAAGCTATGAGATGTGTATTTATTTTTTTTATTTTTCTTTTCATTTCAATTTTTTTTTGGTGTTTTTTCTTTTTTTAAAATAAGATATATGTTAGGAGTATTTTTCTTTTAAATGTTGAAGATGAAACTTAAAACTTATACCTTTAAATTTATATGAGAAATCTATAATAAAAAAATAGTAACCATTAAACTATTAGGAATATTTAAAGAAGAAAAAGAACTTAAATTTAAGTCCGGCGAGAAACTTTATATAAAGAGCGTCCACTTTACTCTAGACTTCTCCAGTATTTTTTCTTTTTTTTTTTTTTTTGAGCAGGTAGATTGTTAAGAAGTTAGTAGAGTTAGTTTGTTAACGACTGGAATTTTTTTAGGAAAGTAAACCTTCCACCTCTCATTTGAGGGGCGTGACCATTAAGTCGCAAGTTGGTGAAATTCACGACAATGGCAGAGCTCGAAGTCCTAACCTCCGCCTCACCCAAGCCTTAAAACTTGGAGGCCAACCAATTGAGTCACAGGTTCGGTTGGCCAGTATTTTTTCAATTTGGTTTCTTAAATTTTAAATATTTTATTTTAATTTCTTTCAAATACTTCTAATTAAGGTACGGCCTAGACGGTTGAGCCCTTACTTTCCTTAAAATTTTTTGACCCTAGAGTAGGGTAGGGTAGGTCACATGTCTAATTAAGGCCACCTCTTAAAATTTGTTGACCCAAGACTAGGGTAGGTTATATGTCTAATTCAAGGCCGTCGTTCTTTAATATTGTAGGGCAATGTGAAAGTTCTGCCCTTTGAAATCATTTAAAAATTTTCAAAGTGTATAAATATTGACTCATAAATATTACAAAAAAAGAAAAGAAAAAAGGATAAGTAGAGAATGCCTTAGTGGCATATTGCAACCATCCCTTTGGTTAGGGCTTCTTATATTAAAAATTTAAAAGTGTGAAGTTGAAGTTCTACCTCAATATTAAAAAAAAAAAAAAAAAAAAAAAAAAAAGGATTAAGTATACAACAGCAGAGGCACACCGGTACTAATTTAGACCACTACTCATAACAGACAACCTCAAATTCCAGTCTACCGCCATACAAAGGCATTATTGGCTTGCGTGATTCATGTAGTTATATGAAATTGGTATAAAAATTTTATTTTTTATATTAATCTTTTAAATATTAAAAATTACATTGAATTTTAGCTTATTTAAAAAAATTGAATTCCTTTTATTTTTATGGACAGGTAGTTAAATATAAAAATTTTATTTGTACATATCTTATAATACCTATATAATATTTATAAAAGGAATGTAAATTTTTTATCATAGGAATACATAAAGTTATTTTTCATTGCAATACCACTTTAATAATAACAATAATAATATAATAAT